ATCTGTTCCATGCTATTATCTTGGGGTTCTTCTCCTTCCTGTATGCCTATGATTCATAAGTTTGGTCATTTTATGGTGTCACACAATTCCTGCATATTCAATTCTTGTGATTTCTTAATTTCTTCATAATCTTTGCTTGAGTGGTCTAGTTCATCCCCTTTAATCTTCCAGTCTTGATACTCTGTTTTCCATTTCGTTCATCCTATTGGTGAGGCTTTCTCCTGTAGTTTCTATTTGGCTTACTGAGTGTTTCACTTCCTTCTTCATTTCAGCCTGAGTATTCTTCAATATTTCTAACTATTTTTTGAATTCATTCAGGAGTTTATCCCTATCTTCCTTCAGTTCTTTGATTTGTTTGTGTGTTCTTTAAATTCACTGAATTCTTTTATGATGATTTTAATTGTTCTTTTGAGTTCCATGTCCTGCATTTTCTCTAGAGATTTCTCATTGTACCCCTCTAGAGGACTATTGGTGTTTGGTGGGGATATGTTATTTCGATTTTTCATGTTATTATTATTTCTCTGTGATTCTGACATGTGAATTTCTTTTGTAGTTTCTGATTCTTGTGTGAGACTCAAGCCTTCAAGTTTAGGTCTCCTTCAACTTTACGTGTCTTTGTGGTTTACTTTTGAGCGTAAAAAGCTGGTTCCTCTAAGCTTCTGGTTCTCTCTTTTGATTTTATACTGGAGTGGCCAGATTGCTTTTGTGTTCAGGAGTTCCCACAGAGGCCCAAGTCAAATGAGGATCAGATGCTCTCAGGCTTTCTCCTATGGTCTGGATCCCTCCAGGAAAGATTTTGGCCTCGGGAGTTCGGGGGTTGGAGTGGCCTGGAAGCCGGGCCCAGTAAAGATGCTGCTCTAGAACTGCTGGTGGCTATGCCACCCAGAGATACAAAGGAAGATGGGGGCAGGAAGTGGCTCCAAGTGCTCATGCAGACTGCACTGAGGAGCTGGGTTGGTCTGGATGCAAAGGATCAGGAAGAGGAAAGGTCAGCCCCAGCATCCAGGAAAGAGGCTGGTGGGTGGTGCAGGCCCAGGGAAGCAGAGAAAGGTGAGGGTGGGGCCAGGCCCAGAAGCAGTGCCCCTGGGGACCTGAGAGGGAACTGTGTGGGTCTGGATGCAAAGGATCAGAAAGCAGTGGTGGGTCCCCCTGTGTCTGGGGTGCCAAGACAAGGAATGGGACAGGACCCAGGCTAGGAGAGACCTGAGGGGGAGATGGGAGGGTGAATGAGGCTGGGGGAGTCAAGGCGAGGAGGGCACTATGGACTTACCCTGGAATGAGAGGCCTGCGGGTAGGAGAGGGGCCTGCGGGTCCTATAGGCCCAGGGAAGCAGAGGGAGGTAAGGGCGGGGCCAGGCCCAGAAGCAGTGCTCCTGAGGACCTGAGAGGGAACTGTGTTGGTCTGGATGCACAGGATAAGGAAGCAGTGGTCAGGTTTTTATTTTTTAAAGCTGTCGTTTGGATATCCTTCCTCCATTTATTTTATTTTTTTTTTTCTGCTTTGTTGTTAGTTCTCAAAAGTATTTGTCCTTTATGGACTTTGAAGAAACATCATCTAGGGTCAGAATGGAAATCTGTTACAACCAATCAAGTCTACATGAGGTCTACTGGGACAGCACACCCACATCTGGTCTCATTCTGTTGCAAGACTGCTTATTCTAATCTTTTAAAAGTCCAAGATGATCTTATTATTTTTAATAAACAATCACTGAATTCAAGGGCAGGAAGAAAATTACAAAAGCTGTTGTCTCTGTGACTTGGTTAGGTGGTAACTTCTGATGCTCTCCAGTGGTTGAACCCCAGCCATTCACCACTGTTAGAAAAGGCTTTTTGTCCAAAAAAAAAACCCCTCAAGTCTTCAGTCTTCAACACATGTCCACTCACTTTCTCTCCTGAACATTTCCACTTGCAACAATAAGCTTTTAATGCTAAATGCCTGGGAGAATAGGTTCTTCTGCAAAATCCTTAAAGGACACTGACAACTGGATGCAATGGAGTTACAAATAGAAACAGGTCAAAATGGAAAGTTTTGGAAATGCTAAAATCTGATCTGAATTGAGAACTCAAATATCAAAACTCTAATTAGAACAACTCTGGAGTTTGCTGAACTGGATTTCAACCCCAACCCAAGCTCTGTCTAGGTTTGTAATCATGGGTTAATTTGACACTGCACATCAGTTTCTCCATCTTTAAAACAGCAGCACCTTCCTTGTGCTGAAGAATAAATGAATTAACGTATGAGTCACTAGAGCAATGTTAGAATCAGTGTTTGCTGTAATTAAGTAATCATTTCTTTCTCATTAAGTCAACCAACAGAAATGGTACACTAGGCATTTTCAATGTGTAGCTACACTAAATGTCACCTGAGAGAGCTCTGAAAGGTAGAAGATATACAGAGGGGGTACAGGAACCCTAAAGCAACCCAGTTTCCTCTCTGCGGTCAAGAACACAGGTACAGACACAAAATGTTATTTCACAAACAGGATGGCTTCCAGCTGTGTGTTATTTTATATTCCTTTTGAAATATCATTATTCATGTTGTTTCTGCCCTAAAAGCACAGTGAGTCAAACACAGATGTTTCTGTGGTTTTCCATCACTCTGTATGTCATAAGTCTTCCAAGAGGTTTGTCACATGGTGGGAAAGTGCCCCTCACATTCAAGAATGTAAATAGTATGTGCTCACTGACCCACCAAAGACATAATGAGAATGTTTACTCCACAAATAACCTCCGACCTTGCCTCCAAAGCTGTAGTATTAATAAATAATCTAGAATAATAACATCACACCCTGAAAAAAAATCACCCAATACACCAGAGAACTTGGAGAGAGCTTAAGTTTGTAATATGAATGATCTGAAAACTAGTCTTGGGACTCTGCCCAAATCTGAGCTACCCACCCATAGTTTCTTCCCCACTTCATTACAAAAGCACAGAAGCAGTGGTCTGTGGTAAGTAGAGTGCTGAGAGTTTGGCAGCAGTAACTGGCAATGAACTGTGGAAGTTCAAGACTACTTACTAGGTGGCAGAACATAAACCTGACCATCAAGATGGTCTTTGCATAAAGACTACTCAAAAGCAATAAACCTTAAGTGTTCCAATCTTGTGAGTGCATGAGTGCTGAGCAAGAAAGCAGATCAGGCACATTTCAGACATGCTGAACAAACCTCATTCACCCAAGGGTTGCCTTGGCAGTCACTAGTCACTTTTCCACCTGGTGTGAAACCCCCTCCAATATAACCCCTTCTACAAGTGTACTACACAACCTACAGCCTCACTTTATTGTGCTCTAAATGTCCTCTCCATACTTCCGGAGTTCACCTACTGTCATTTGCCTTACCCAGTTTAGAACGTGTAACACGTAAAAACAGATACCCCTCCCAACAGAGGATGCTTTATAGCCATTGGCATCTGGAGGTAGCACTACTGGATGGACAGTTAAGACCTTGTAAAATTTCTTGAGTCTTTGTTCCTTTGATGATGTGTTAATAAACTCACTCATAAAATCCATGCCAACTAGATATACCTTCTTCCCTTCCTCCAGCTCACAACCCCTCACAACCCTCCACTGAAGACTTGTGCAACTGGTCCATGGAATTCTCCTCTGCCCCAGCCTCTCTTTCATCCTGTCTTCAAAACCTGAACCCTGACTTGATACATGCCTCAACCACTCAGTTCATTTCTATTAGGCATCAAGAGGCCTGCCAGTATTCCACCTTGAGCTTCCTTCAGTCATGGACCAGTCCCCAGGTCTCCCCACTCAACCACCCCTCAACTACAGAAACTCAAAGGTATACTACACACTCCTAGTCACATCACTAAACAACTCCAACAGTCATCCTCAACTTGAGGGTCTCTTGCAGCCCTCTAGTCAGATTCCCTCCCTGTCTTCATTGCATTAACTAGCAGCTGTGGCTCTCCATCTACTATTTCATCTGTTCTAATATTTTTCTCTTTCACCCCTGTATTATTTGAGCACAAGGAGGAGATCGCCGCAGCATGTTTCTGTCCGTGGAGCATTTATGGTACACTTTCAACTTACACTCTTTAAGCCTGAGCTAGGTGACCTTTGTATACATACCCATAGAACTTTATAATGACTAGTTTACAATAACTGCATCCTTACTTTGTAATTCCATATTACTCCTTAGTCTACCCGGCCCCCAAAGGTGAGGACTTAACCTTATGCTAATGTATCCGGATAGCATAACACAAGACTCAGAAGACAGTAGCTGTTAAACATTTTCAATCAAGACGCACAGTCAATGTGACTTTGAAAACTACACAAAAGGGTAAAAAAGAGGAAAAGCCAATTCCCATTAATACCTACTATTAACAAAATACAATGCCAAGTGATACCAGGGGAATGTAAGAAATGACACAGACAGATTCATGAATTTCACAAGCCATCTAGCCAAATATGTCATAATATAACTATTAGTTATAAATCCACAAACAAAAAATGGAGAAAAACTTTAACAGTAAAAAAGAGCAAATCCTCTTAATTGAATATTGCTTCTTTGGTCTATGAGGAATAAACATTTCAAAATCACTTGATTTTCAAATGGCCTAGAGTTCAGATAGATAAGAATTTACTATAAAATCCTAATTAACGGGTTTAAGAGAATAGAAAAATTTTAAAAATGGAACTAAGCTCTCCTTACATCCAGAAGGCAGAGAAATAATCAACTGTCTCGCTGAAATCATGAAAATAGAGACCACTTTTATTTCAGGTGAGATGTAACAAGTATTTGAGAACAAAAGTCCAGAAGAAACTGTTTAAAAAAAACTAAAATAAAGGCACTTTCTTCCCAAATTTATGTTGACAGATAAACTTGAGCTTCTAGTTTGCCTGTAATTTTCATCTTCAAAGAAAACAGAAAGGGGTGGGGGGGCACAAACAATAAAACAACCAAAGTCAGCAGCTTTTCCCATGGAAACATTTTACCTGCATGAGTTTGGTGTCGTGTCCAGTGTATACAACCACGCCAAAGACCCACTGAGTATTCCTGACCTGGGTACCTCTTAACAAGATCTGGTCGGGCCCCAGGGCAACAGGGCTAAAGAAAAGGAACAGTATTTATATTTATTGAGAATATGACAAATAAGCATGCATTTCCCCTTATTTTATATACCCACAATAAACCAAATGCTTCATTCGGCCAAACTTAAGCAGTAATTTACTCTTTGACTAATATACCAAGAAAAGGCCCACAAAGTATCTGCTTCATCCTTCCTCACAAGGAAAAAGAAGAGTTTTTCTATAAAATTTAGAGAGGATTCTATCTCATAATCCTGCAGTACAAATTAACACCCAGAAATGAAATTTAAGAAAAAGCACAATTGGGGCTGGAGAGATGGCTCAGCAGTTAAGCGTACTGACTGCTCTTGCAGAGGACTTGGGTTCAATTCCCAGCACCCACATGGCAGCTACGAACCATCCTTAATTCCAGTTCCAGGGAAATCCAAAGCCCTCTTCTGATCTCCAGGGCATTGCACGAAACGGGTGCACTCACATACATGCAGGCAATATACTCATAAACATAAAATAAAAATAATAAATAAAATATTAAAAAAGAAAAAGCACAAGCTTATTCATTTGCGAAAAACAATGTATTTTATAGACTAAAAATTAGCAAGTTTTCATATCAAAGTGTTTAATGATTAAATATCTGATAGATAATTTACAAATGGGAAAGCACATGGCTAAGCATGCAAAATGCTAACCAAGAAGCAGTCACAAGCTTAGTTATCACATTTGGGTTTTGCTGAGTCCTGTGAGAGGGTCCTCCCCAGCCAAGGGCCTATTCAGAGTATGAAGGAGAACACAGTCAGAATGCTATTGCATTTTGTTAAGCAGCATGCAGATAATAGATGGGTGGCAGACAGAGACCACAGGCCAGTGTCATGACAAAAGATACCCTCAAATAATAAAACATTCAACTTGTATATGGGGGGGTACGCATATTCATGTGTGTGCATGTGTGCACATGCACATGTGGAAGCCAGAGGTTGAAGTCATGTATCATTCTCAGTGGCTCTCCATCCTATTTTTTGAGACAGGATCTCATTGATCCAGTTAGGCTGGTGATCAATAGACTCCAGGGATTTGCCTGTCTCCACCTCCCCAGTACTGAGGCTGCTTTTATGTCTGTGCTGGAGAGCCACACTCAAGTCCCCATGTTTACATGGCAGGCATTTCACCGACTATGCCTGTCCCCAGTCCCCATTCCATTCAACTTTCTAAGAACAAGCAGGGATATGGTATAAGCTCAGTGCTAAAGTGTTTACTTAGCATGTGGAAGGCCCAAGCTGCAATGTCCAGCCCCACAAAAAATAAAACTGAAGCAAATGTTCTTAGAAGAAAGCTAGCAAGAAAAGACATGTTTCTCTTCCACATCTACATGTTGAATGCACATTAAACACCTCTCTCCTGCTCTTCTGCACCATTCAATGCAACTTAAACTATTTCTTTTGCTTGGTGGGTCACTGGCACGGAAGAATAAACCACGTTTTGTGGACCTCATATGAGGTACTGGGCTCTTGTCAAAACTCCCTTCTTTCCTTCAGTGTAAGGAAAGTTTTAGGTTGATTTAAATGGTGTTTCAGTATTTCACAGCTGAGCTAAACATGAAGAAATCTCATGATCTTCAAATATTATGAAACTAGGAAAAAAAAATTCCAAACTGCCAGAAATTCTTGGCCACATTAAAAAAAAATTTAGAAAAAGAGAAGCAAAACCTTTTCCCATCCAAGTGCAAGTTGCCAGTGAAGTCATACAGGTGGCGGTTGGGCCCTTCGCATTCTATCCTTCCAGACAGCTTCATGAGCACTTCCCTCGTCTGCATGTCAGCGGTTTGGTTCAAGCCCTGGAACATGAGGCCGACAAAGAAAATCAAATACCAATGTCCGTGTTTAAGGGACAACACAGCATTCTGTCAATCACAAGGACATAATGAGCCATCTGCCATGTAACAGCCCCTCAAGACCATGCAACTCTTTGACACAAAAACATCAAAACATTTCAATGGATAAAAGGGGAAGGTTCCAACCCATTAGAAACATCTATATTTAAGTGGTAATTAAGGTATTCAAATACCTTACAGAAAGCCAACACTGTTAGCTGTCCTGTAACACTCATCAGAAAGATAAAGCGTCCCTTTAACACTTTACAGACATAGATGCAACTTTTTGAATTTTAAAAATACTATATTCTGAGCATTTCCTAACAGAACAATATTAACAAGCCTCACTGACTCTTCTTTAAACAGAAGCAAAATCTTCTAGAGCAAATATCTACAGGAAAAAGAAAAAACATGTAGACAGAATTATTGAATTCAGTTTTATACAGCAGAAAAATGTAAGGGTCAAGATGCCTAGTATCTTTATTCACAAAAGACTATTCTTCATGTTAAAATACAATGTATAGTAAGAATAGGGGTATTTTTCTTTTATTTGCATTTATTTTATGCTGAATTTATTCCAATGCCATAAGTTTCTGTTTCATATGAGTTATCTTTTTCTTCTGTGAACCCTCCTCTTCTGGCTTTGGGAAACTCGTTCCTGTTCTGTTAGGATCATCTCAGTGTGGCAGGGAAGCTCAGGCATGGGTTTACCCGACCATGAGCTTTGTAAGTCTGGTGATGCATCTTGGGTGATTTGCTTACCTGCATATGTTCAATGACCAGAGAATCTATATCCGCACCCCTTGATTCAGTATCACTCTCTGCATTTCTAAGCACTCTTTTTGGGCCACTGACCCTGTATGCGGCCCCTCTGTTTGGCCTGGGCACATCTACTGACTCCGCCATTATAGCACTGGAGTGGTACAAGTTTCTTCTTTAAAGTGATGCCTTTCAGATAGGCATTTTTGGAGGTGGCTTTTTGGATGTGCACACCCTTGATGGCCTGGGTAGTTTCACAGACGTTCTTAAAATAAACATGAAGATTTGAACCTCTTGATTAACATGATTTTTTAAAATATTTTGTTTATTTTTTATTTTATGTGTATGCGTGTATTGCCTGCATGTAGATAAGTGCACCCATGTCGTGCAGTGCCCGCAGGGGACAGAAGAGATTGTTGGATTCCCTGGAACTGGAGTTACGGACAGGTTTTAGCTGCCATGTGGGTACTGGGATTCGATCCTGGGTCTTCTGCAAGAACAGTCAGTGTTCTTAACCACTGAGCCATCTCTCCAGCCCCAATTGACATGATTTTTAATGTTTTCTGGTCAAGAGAGTAGCAAACTGTTTCACAGCTGACTACAGGAAAAGCCCAAAAGAAGAGTGCCAAGGCACAGAAATAACTAACAGATCACTCTTGAGTGATGTAAACTGAGGAACCTACTCAGTTTCTACTCCATGTGTCTACAACAGTTGCTTTCCTCTCATTGCCAAGCTCAGCCTCGTGAGGAGATGCCTGTCTTAAGCACTGTGGGCAGAATTCAGGAAGATATGAATGAGGCTTGATATATTGGGCTGATGAAGCTCACTTTCCTGAGTTTCCTGGCCTTCTCAGCAAGCTTCCTTGATGATCAAAGTCACAATTTTCCATAGATTCCACTACAGTTTAAAGTAAAGCTTTTGTGATTGAATAACTTTGTCTCTATGCGGTGCACATGGGGACTACCATATCTGTATTGAGTATTTGCAATTCTGGCTTCTGTAACAACATGAATCATAAAGGTGACTTTACCTGTCGTATTTTAAGATTCGTTTCCCCATCCAGATTAGCTGTTTCAACATAGCACATGGCCTGAGGTTCACTATGAAGAGAGGGAAAAGAGACCAAGTTAGTCCCCTGAGCTTCACAAATTCACAGCACATGAAAACTGTTAGGGAAACCACGTTTGTTGGCAGGCCTTTCAAATGCATTATTGTAAACACCACTTTTGTAACACTAATTGATGAGAAAAGGAGACACACACTCATCCTCAGAGCTCAAAACCAATAAACACAAAGTTGTTTGCCCAAACAATCAAGCTACAGTCCCACATGCTTGGTCCTAACCAGACAGAAATGCATGACAATGAATGAAAATGCCAAGGGTGTGTTGACTGGAAAGGGAAATATTCCAGTTAAGACATATACACCCAGTAGGGTGATCCTTAAAGGTTGAGCCCCCGCCTGCACCTGACCAAAAGAGTCACCCTGGCAAGGCCAGCATAAACACACCTTTTAAAGAAAACTAGAGCCACAGGAGTTGAAAGATGAGGCCTAAGGCTAGCAGACCTGTGTTTCCTACATTTGTCACAGTGTTGTCCATTTAATCAAAACACCTAACTTTAAGAACAAACTCACAGTAAAAGTAAGCACATCACACACTATCCTACTTCCAGTCTCCTGATTTAGGTTAGTTAGTAGAGCTGGTGATCAAGAGAAAGAACTCTGTGGCCCACTAAGTTTGAACCCCCGAGTGCCACTTTTAGGAGCCAAATGACCTTTGTAAGTATTTAAGCTCTGTGCCTCAGTCTTTTCATGCACAAATAAAGGGTGTCATGGGTTAGAGGGCTGCTCACAACTCACACACTCAGATACAAGGAGCATCCCATAAACCCAATGGCAGCTCAATCCATTTATGTTAAACCAACTTATCTGAGGGTCACAGACAAGACTCCTGGCCCAAACCACCAAGTGACATATTTTAATATTTCTAACAGTTTCTTTGTCACCATTGAATAGGGTCAAATATGAACCCCACCTATGTCTGTAGTTTTCCCCCTCCATTGGTTTGGGTCCTAGCTTTAAACCTTTTATCAGTAGTGAAAGTCTATGCTAAGGCTTGATTCCTAAAAGGGGACAAATCTCATACAAGAAACACTGCCTGAAATCAAGGAAAATACAAACAGCTTGAGCGTCTATGCTTCCCTGTACTAGGTAAACAGAGGTATAATTTTAACCACTTATAATGTAACTTTGAATTTAAGAACAGAAGTTCACTGTTATCCTGATTCGGCTTTCCTTCTTTGTAATATGCTTTTCACACACCAAGCCTAGAAGAGCACGGGTAGTTTTGCTCTGTTCTGTACACCGCTGCATGGTGGTAACTTTGTCTATCACATTGAGTGTTGCAATGGTCTTGGGCAGAAAGAGAGCAAACAGCAGAAGGCTAAAGAGCAAAGGCCGTCTATGGGCCATGTCTGTATTAGGGGTTCTTGGAACAGCTGTTCACGGGCAGCATCAGGTGCTACAGGACAGACTGCTGGCAGAGGCCACCAAGAAACTAGTGCTGAAGCCTCCTAGCCTCCTAGATGCCATTGAAAACTCACTCCAGTGCCCTTGAATCAGTGTCCCTATTAGTAAGGAATATCCTAGAATGGCTGGGGATCTAAAGGAGTTAATGTCAGCAAAAAGAGTTCTGAAAAGCTCTAAAGGAATGAACAGGAGAAAGAAAACTAAGAGTCACAGCAGGGCAAGACAACTGACAGGAGTCCAGGCTGAATATCTCTTACTCACCCAAAATGCTTGGGACCACAACTGCTTCTGATTTCTGTTTGTTTCAGATTTTTAAATAGTTATTATTTTATTTTATGTGCATGAATGTATTGCTTGCATGTATGTAAGTGCACCCATGTCGTGCAGTGCCCATGGAGGTCAGAAAAGGGCATAGAATCTCCTGGAACTGGGGTTACGGGCAGTTGTTAGCCACCATGTAGGTGTTGGGAAACAAACCCAGGTCCTCTGCAAGAGCAGCCAATGCTCTCAACTGCTGAGCCATCTCTCCAGTCCATTTCAGGTTTTTTTTTTTTTAATATTTGCATAGACTGTACCAGTTGAAAATCTCTAATCTCAAAATCAAAATGCACTGAAATCTGAAACTATAGGTCATAAGGGATGCTCAGCTTGTCATGAGCAAGCAGGATAGTATGAGAGGGACAGTGGCTCATAGGGTAGAAGAGGAAAGATGGTGTGAGGTTTCTGCAGTTGTCATGTAATACTTTATAATTCTTAAGATTAATTTCAACAACTGTGCCCACTGGCACACCTGACCTGGAGGAGAACAGGATCATGTCTGCTGGAAGATACTGCCCATTGAGGACCTTCACAATATCGCCCACTGCCACCTAGAGACCAGAGACAGGACACAGAGGCATGAAAGAAAAGAAAGCACGAATGTGATAAGGGTAGTTAAATATGTGAAGAAGAAAGTTAGTGCATAACTAAGTCATACCTGACAAGTACAACAGGCAAATGCTTCTACATGTACAAGCTGTAAAACAGCTATACCACAGCCTCTATAGCCAGAGGCTCCATGTCTACAAATCCAACCATTTTGAATAGAGAAAATACATTTGGCCCAGAGTAGTGGTGCACAGCTGTAATCCTGGCACTTGAGATTTTGAGACCAGCTTGGGCTACAGTGAGACCCTGTCTCAAAAAAAAAGTGTCATTCCCCCCCCCAAAAAAACAACCCCCCCAAAAAAAACCCCAGAGTGATGATGGTAACTAAAGCAAAAAAGACTGTCTCTGTGCTGAGCATGTGTGGACTTTGTCTTATTATTATTCCCTAAGTGGCACATCATAACGCTATTTCCTTAGCATTCACATGGCATTTGGTATTCCATCACCTAGAGATGATTGTACATACATGGGAGGGTAGGCACACATTCTCTGCAAATGCTATCCCATTTTACAGAAAGGACTTGAGCATCTACACATTCTGGCATCTATTGTTACCCACCTGGAACCAGTTCTTACAGACATCAAGAAATGACCATATTGCTGTTTTTTTTAAGAATTTAATTTTTAAATTTAATAACCACATGATTAGAAGAAGCATTTCATTACAGTTTTAACATATTCAATAACAATTTCCAGAGCAAGGATCCATCTCTTTCAAAAGTGGCTGTAAATTTTTAGGTTCACAGTTGACTTAATATAGTTATACAATATTGAACTCAGTATAAACCCTGTAAGACATAGAATTGAATGGGTTTTTAACCTTTAAAAAAGATCTCATAAGCTTTTGAGGTTATCCACAAGTTCTCTATAACAGAAATTTGTTGTTAATATATTTCTTCATGTAATTTTATACTTAGAAAAAAATAGAGGCTTAATATTTTAGGTTTGTGAAGACAGCTAAAAATTAAACTCTTCTGCCTGCCCCCCCAAATATCTCCATTTCATTTTAAAATATGCTGTTTCCTACAGAAAGACTCATTTTTAATGCTACTAACAATTAGATGTTTGCACATGTGACTCTAATCTCTATGTATCTGATTATTACTAGTCACACTCTGATCTTTGGTACCTGAGTATGGCTAT